TCACGTTTTTCTTGAGTGTTTGAGGAAATCCGTAATTATTTATTTGAGGGTGACTCTTTGGCATTCAGTCCAATGTTGGTGGAACCGACGAATACTTCAATAGTTTTACTCAACGAAATCAATAAGCGTATCTTGGAAAACAAATCAGTTTATGATCAGGTGATTCTTATGTGATTGCTTGATAGTACCGCAGGGTGTTTTTGTTGAGCAACATTTTTTTATTAACTCGTGAGGCAATTTGCCATAGTAAGTTGTAAAGGTAACTAATAGAACGTCGCTCCTGAAGAACGTGCAGGACTTGTGCGGGAACGCTAGTGGGCGTGGCCTCGACGTTGCGCGCGTGGGTGTATGGCTATCGAGTCACTTTGTAAGTTCGGAAAACAGGCGGGGTACTGTACCGCTGACTGCCTAAAACTGAGCGCGTGGGGCTAGCGAGTGCGCACAACACCACTCAGTTTCTGCCAGCGCAGTCCTTGGATACAGGTGGAAAATGGAATTAGCGCTGCTCTCGCTTCCTGGTTTCACCAAAGAGATTTCTGCCCGCCTCCCCCCCCCCCCTCCAACACATTTAATTTAACCCACAGTCTTTGGGGTACTGCATCCCGCCTGTTTTCCTGAACTTATAATCTTGCTATCGAGTTTACTCCACGAAATGAAGACAGCAACTACAATGACTACAGTCCTGTCGCGCTCGCAATGTGTGATATGAGGGAACTACGGGGAATCCTTCTGAACTATTTTCCTGGACAGGCAGGAGCCACAGACCTAGTCGCAAAGCGCTACATCGCGCTCCCAGACGCAGCTCGGACGACTGTCTTGCTCACGCATCCCCGTGTCATTCGAAGCAATACGTTTCTGGTGCGTATGACGCGCATGTGATGCTGCACGCAAGCTCGCTTTCGCCGCGTTGCTGCAACGCACCTTCATCGTTTTGATGCATGCATATTTCTGCTTATTTAGGATATTCTCAACGAGTTATGCTCTATACAATATCACGGCGTAGTTTGTCGAAACTTCGAATACAAAGAAGTCGCAGATGGGAAATGGTGAGCCGTCAGAGGATTCAGCCAGAAAAATGCTCTAAATACTTGATTAATCCCTCTAAATCGAATGTTTACAGGTACTACCTCAGCGATAAGGACCACAGTCTTATGCGGCCCTACATAGTTAATAACAACTTCTATGTTGGATTGAAAAACAAGGAGGCTCGCCAGGTATGTCAAGGGGGTTTCGATAGCTATCCGGTATTATTGGAAATCTCAATTTCAGGCAATAAATGGCCTATGGTTCTTGACTAGAAGCGGGCACTGTTCAATAGAGAAGGTCGAGCGAGCCCGAAAACGACATCTGGAATAATAGAAACCTTTTTAGTAGGGACAATTTCGATTCTGCCTGATATTCATCTGTGATTACTTGATTGACACTTCTGCCATAGCGGGTTTTCCTACCAGTGACCGGGTTATTTATTTTATTCCACTCCGTCATAGTGGATAATATTCGTGCTACTTATGAATGAATTTGAATTACTTTGTTTTGTTTGACACTTACACCCTCACCATCTACAGAACGACTGTAAACAGAAGATTTCAGCTATGAGATGTACGGAAGTGGTCTGTGAGCACATTTCTAGCATGTTGTTTTGGCATTTTACTTATTGTCATAGATCCATACCGGTCGCGTCTTTCGAAAATCGGACCAGGGTTTCGTCTAATTCGTGTTCCAGATAAACGCGTATGCAAAGCCGTTTTGAAAACCCGACTGTGACACCAGATTGATAATTCTCCAGATCAACTTTGCACATTCGTAAAAGCAGGAATTTCCAGTGTCTAGGTCGGAAAGAGAAAAGCAAGTGATTAGTTTGCTATTGTAGCATACTCTTCACAGCGAATGAAGAGACGTGTCGGACGAGATGGGTTTGGTGCGGAAACCCGTTACCCACCAGATGTTGAAGAGAGCAAGCAACACGATTGTATCACGTCGTTAGTATCAGTCATTTCCCACTAACTGTTGCCGCTTAACCCCTTCAGCAACTTTTAAAGAACGGTGTGGCGTCCGCGTCTCATCCTCTCCTCCTGACATGCCTTCATAAGCAGCGAGAACGCCAGTAACACAATGAGAAGAAGAATTACGAGATCTCAAAGATCGGTGTGATGCTAAGTTTGCTCTGGAGGAGGGATAGGTACCAGTCATGTATAAGCTGTATATGTTACATGTGTGTTTTCTGTTGTACCAGTGTTGGCTAACGCACATCTCGTGTGCACCACAGCGTAGTTCTCAGTGGACGAATTTGATAGCAGATATCAGGTCCTGAATAACTCACGCGAAAACCAGCAGCGCTTGCTCAGGGTCCTGCTTTGGGAAGCACCATGTAGTTTAGTGGCTGCAAACCTACCACAGGAGTGCCTTTTATAGGCGAGGAAGATGCTACCATAATCAAAACATCATCTCAGATACTGATACTGTAGCATCGACCGGTTTCTGTTTCGGCTAGCTGTTTCTGCTATCCCTCTCTCTAATCTCACCCTGAAGTCATTTTCCGGACGGACCGACATACAAAGTTTCTACTTTATAGAATAGAGTGATGCATATGTTATGGGTAGCTATGACACTTTCTTCAGAGCAACTTATACCATCTACCATCACTAGCTCTGGTCTGCCCTGCTTCTTGAGCTGTTTACTTCGTCTCTCTATCCCCCTTTACTTCACCTCTTTCTATCCCCTGTAAGCAAAATTTGTGACGACTACTTTCCCAATTGATGTATACCCTCTCCATGTACCACAACCTCTCAATCTTCGGGGAGGAATCCTTAATTGTGAGGCACTCTACTAGGAAACAGGGTAAATTAGGAAACAGGCTGCCAGGGCACATCGCTGTTGAGGATCGCATAGGGGGAGTTGGTATTTTGCCGTAGGAGAGGGGGTAGTTAGTGCGCTGGTCAAAAAATTTATTTTGATAGTTGATTTTTCTCGCTTCACGGACGTTGTAAAGGGGGGGGTCGTATTTACGTTTTGGCGTTGTAGGAGTGGTGGTTGACTTTTGGTGATTTTCCTGTTTCATGCGTACTATATGCCCCCCCCCCCCTCGCCCTCCCCCCCCCCACTCGACAGCAAAATTTTTGGGGAAAAGTAGGAAAGTTTTCGGGAAATTTTGGAAAAGTGGCAGGAAGTTGGGGAAAATCTGAGAACTGGTAGAAGGGGGGGATACGTTTTCATGTGCATATGCTGATTTACCTCCCCATTTACTCCCGCCCACCCGCTCGACGGCGCTTCGCATTCGAGGAGGAGGAACGACGGTTGGGGGGGGGGGGTCGTGCACCGACCCCACAGGAAAGGAGGGGGCGCTTGACAGACTCGGGCCATCCCCAACCAATGATGTGCCCTGCAGGGTACCCACCGTTGGGAGAATCCCATCAGGGGGAAGAGAGGAGAAGGGAAGAATGATGGAGGTTATTCAGTCCTGACAGAAATTTTTAAGTCAAGGATGGAATTTTCGGTTGTTAAGTTTGCGCAGTCTTTCGCTATACACCTCGACCTAGTTGACGGAGCTCAAAGACCTAAGAATAACTGGCAGCCATTTTCGAAGTCTGGTTTTCAGGGACACGCTCACCGCTCTTCCCCTCACCCCCCCCCCTCTCCCCATCCACTCAAACGGCATTGTTCTTGAACGAAAGCCTAGGAAACTGAAACAGATAGTGGTTGCTAGCTTTGAAGTTTGGGGAGACAGGAGGCACGGTACGACTGGGAGAGGGGGAGGAAAGTTATACAGCAGAAGAATTATCGAGTGGGAGCGTCTGAGAACGTCGTTTTTCTCACTCTGCTGCTGTACCCTGGTTGCATAAGGAGCGTTACCTTTCCATGTCTTTGGCCGACTTGCCAGCCCACACTTGCTAGATCGTTCCCCGCTTGTTTTGCAGTGAAACCGGTGAATAGCAGGATGTGATTTGCAGTTAGAGCTACCCATCGGAGCCCATTGGTTCAGATGAAAGTGTCTATCTGGAGGCGCAGGCAAGTTCAACGCGCTGAGGGCACAGTGTTTGACTGAGGGTGGTCAGTTTACTGCTGCCAACATTAACTGGATAGGCTGCCAAAGAAAGGCGTTTGACCACACTCCAGGACCACTTAGATCTTCCAGTAATGCCGCCGGATGTATGACCCCGCGGTCATCGTGGCCACGGCCCTGAACGTTTGGCTACTACGTCACCTACAGGCACTCACAGCGTTTTTTAGAGAAGTAGTAATTAGGTGGTAAAGGAGTTAAGTGAAATCCTGTGCTCGTTAGACCAGGAATAATAGAAAGGCCAAGTGTTAATCGACAGAGCCTAATAATTTTATTTTCTCACCTTCAATCTCTCGCTCTCGTTCACAATTTCGTCAAATTCTTCTATAAATCTTATTATTTAGATGGCCAATTCACTATAATACATTATTTGCCAAAGCCACCGAAATACCCGTTGTTATAGGCGCCTAGGCTGAAGCTTGAGCTGAGCCCGAAACTGCTGCCGTAGCTGCTACCAAATACAGGAAATCCAAACCGCCGAAGCCTGGATAGCCGCCCACCAAAACCGCCGCCATATCCTGGATAGCCGCCGCCAAATCCACCATAGCCAGGATAGCCGCCGCCGAAACCGCCGAATCCACGTCCGAAGCCACCAAAACGCTTTACCCGTTGCGACCTGAAAATGGGCACTATTTGGGAAGTTCTGCTGATTCTTAATTCTAAGAGTTCCTACACTTAGTGAATTATAAATTTCAAACCTCTTGTCTTCGGAGACAACATCAACAACATCGTGGGAAATCGGTGAGGCGTTACAGAGGAATAAAAATGCACAAAACAGATACGAACACAAGTTAGGCAGCATTCATCTTTGGAGGAGCTGGCGTTGCTCAATGAACTGACTCACTTTTATAGTTGTTGTTGCCCGAGTAGTTTGGCAAACGTAACGTTGTAGCTTTGGCAAATTTCCCCACTACCGTAGTTATTTTGCTTTTGCAAATTGGGTGCTGGTAACTTGGCCACGACTCAAAAACGAGTTGCTGTTGGTATATGGCGAACATACTCGGGCCAAGGCGACCAAAAACATTGCTGATTCATGAAAAAAGATGTTTTCGTCAACTCTAACAACATGGGCTTAGTCAATGAATCTGCTTCATGCTGAACATGTCCCATACTTCTCACAACAACTATCATTACACACAAGAGGGGCCATGCTCTCAGAAAAGAGGGCCATACCTCTTAAAAAAATAGGGACTAGCGCTGACGGGGTTATACAAGTCAAAAACGGCAAGAGGGGACAGTTTTTGGCGCCCCCAGCGCTGGTAGTTCTTGCAGGGAGAGCCATCCCCTGGGCAGCAGCCCTGCCGAACCTTCGGGAAGTCTCCTCTCTGCGTATGGGTTGACCGCTCATGCGCTTAGATCTTAGGTCAAAAAATGCGAAAATCAGCGCTACAAATTATTACTCTCCACTACCCGGTTCCACAAGGTAAGGGGTGGGGCCAATAATTTCAAAACTAAACGACTTTGGTAACGATAACAAGGGTTGCAAATGTAAAAGAAAGTGCAGAACATGTGAGATAACTAATACAGATAACTACATTGTATCAAACGTTACAAATCTATATATCAACACATATAAAGAAGCAGATGCAGATTGTAACGCTAAAATGCTACCGTTAACTGTGTTAATGCATGCAATGGCTGTGGCGATAACATATGTTGGGAATGACTGTAAGAAAATTGAAAGAAAGAATCGGAGAACATCTTTCTAATATATTTTCACATAAAGTACACACACCGTTATATAATCACTTCTACAAATGTGATAGAGGTATAACGGTACAAGTACTAGACTGTATGAAGTCTAATGATAAACCACATTAATAGAAAAAGAACTCTTTTGGATCAGACTTCTGATGACAGCATATCCCTTTGGGCTGAATGATAACATAAAGGGCTATGGAAACATTACAAATATAGATAATCCTCTTATGTACAAGGGCAAAAAGTAGATCATCCCTTCTCTCGTCTTAAAAATTACAAACAAAAGGGTGAACAGAGGGAAAAAGGAACACTAAATAAGAAGTAAAATAAGACAGCATTACGACAATATCTATAAGCAGAGATAACGAGTTAATAATGGAACACTCAAACACTTGTGAAGTCTTCACCACCAGCAATCTGCAAGAGTCTGCGTAAAGAAGAAATTAAGAAACTTATTGAGCTCTCCATGTCCGCAGACTTCTTACAGAGCGTAAATAATAAGACTAGGTACTTAATATTTTGAAGTAGTTATATCTTCTAACAGTACGCACTGCTAGCTCACTTTCATTTTGACATTACCACAAAAGAAGTCACCAGAAAGAAATATCATAACGTAGAGGTCAGTTTCAAGAGCAGAGTATTTAATGAGATACCCTTCAAGAATCTTCAATTCACGTACTGTTAGAGATATACTACTCAGCGATAATGGAAGGATTGGTGATTTCACCCCAATTAGAATTATTTATAAGTACAACAACACAATGGCTAGCAACATTTGCAACTACAACAAAGTGTTGAAAGATCTCGACAACGTAAAATTGAAGCAAATACTCAACAACGATTGTATATGTACTACAAATACAGTACAAGAATATGTGGATAAAAATTATGAACACGTTATCACAGGGAATGTAAATCTTATAAAAGAAGAGAGTTTCAGAAAACTACTGAGTAAAGGACCAATAAATATCGTTGCAAGCACACAGGCATAACAGACTAAGAAGGTAAAAATGGTGTTTGAAGATACAATCATCAAGGTTATGAATTATTTGAAATGTAAGTACAAACCTAGCAATCACAAGGTTATTCTATTACAGAAACATTTTCGTACATGTTACCATGACAAAGTTAAACCTCTACTTACAAAGGCTAATATGCATAAATGATAGCGAGAAACACATACCTTACAACTTGCATCAACAATATCAATGAATAAATACGTGTGTTCGGTCCTCATTCGACAAAGCAAATAATAACTCATGTGCGAGTTCATGCTAAGAAAGTTGTATTTCGTCCACATAATGCATGGAGATGGGCATCCCTTATGATGCTGCCAACGCACACATTTATGTACCTATGCCAACAGTAATAACACATAGTTGAAAATAATCGGCCTCATAGACAAACAATTAATTCTATTAAATTCGAAACGATGAATTCCTTTTGTGTAAAAAATAATATCAATTTATCCATTGATGCCAGAAATACCTAGCTATATAGTAGCCTACACAAAGCCTACCCTGGAATCGGCAGGTTGGAATTCAGATAGCATCACAGGTGCACATAGCAAGTAGTGTTAGGACCTTTGGCCCATAGGAATTACGCATAATCTTATCACATGGTCATCTCTAAAAATCACATTTTTTAACATTACGCCAGAGTAATACAGAACCGCAACAGGACTATCAAGACATACTGGTCTATAAGTAATATTAATATAAGTCAAGAACTACACAACATCACGTTCGACAATCTCAGAATTTACACTGCGGATTTCACGGACATGTTCACAAATTTAGAACATGACCTTATTGTAAAGAAAATGCAAGAACTTCTTAACATTTGCTTCAAAAATGCCAACAGATCCTTTATTGCCACTAATGGTTACCATGTTTTCTATACAGATGGTAAAGAATTTAAGAACAACTACAGATATTACAAATCCAGCGATTTAGTTTACTTTATTGACTATCTTTTACGTAACAGTTTTTGTCTCTTTGCTAATAATACGTTCAAGCAAACTAAAGGTGTCCCACAAGGAGGCAATTTTAGTCCACTACTGGCAGATCTTACGCTTTCTGTCATGGAGTATGACTATGCTAAAACTAAAAAGTTTGATAAAAGTAAGCTGTTCATTCCATATAGATATATGGATGATTTGCCTTGTTGTGCC